GCCTTGGTCTGGCGTCGACCATCCTGTGCCTCGGGACTCAACTCCTCCGGCTGCGCATCGTCCCTTCGTCCCTCTGGCTCCGTCAGGCTCCTTCGTCCCTTCGGCTCCTCCTCAGAACTCTGTCGCTCCGGCTCCACCGCTGCCTTTCAGATCCACGCCTCCGCATCAGTCGCCGGCGCCATATGCTCCGCCTTGGCCCTCCGGATCCTCCCCGTCGCCCTGGCTCATCGGCTCTCCGTCTCCGCCTCGGGCTCCTCCGCCACCTGCTCCGCCGCCGTTGATCGGCCCCCTGGAGTCGTCAGTCTTTCCTCCTCCATGGCTCCTCCCTCCGTTGGCTCCACCGTGGGCCGCCATCATGGCTGTGGCCTGGGTCCTGCTTGGCTCCTCCTGCTCCAAGTCTACGGCGCGAGGAAACAGATGGGGGCGATATGTCAGGGTTATGGACCTGTTTTGTTGTGTTTTCCCTCCCCATGTGCTCCCCGTGACCTAGTTTTCCCGTGTGTTTGATTGTTCATTGCTCCATGTGTCTTGTCTATTACCCCATGCATTTAAGTTCCAGTCTGTGCAGTCTGTCTTGGTCCGGTATTGAATGTGAACGTCTTGTGCTACGTGTGTTCCTGTCTGCCCTGTGTACCCCGTGTTGGAAGGATTCGAGACTGTGTTTACTGTGAATTCTCCTCGTTCCTCGCTCCTCACAGTAGCTGAGGCGTGACACATGTAAATTACTCTGAAATTACTCTGCTCTCACTAATAAATTACTGTAAAGCAGCTCTTCTGAATGATTTTCGTTAGATAAGCTGCGAATTTACTCTTGACAAAGACATGCCTATAAAGTCACTCTATATGCATATTCACAAAATATGCGTCACTCAACTTTAAATTAAAAGTTTAAGCCTGGCCGAGAGCCTTTAGAAATTAAATGTCAGTATGTTCTGATTAGTATGGTTTTGGAGATTTGGAGAGCATTTTTGCTCATATCCCTGAATTTTAAACCATAGTTGGGACCCTGTATGCAACATCTCATTTTTGAGGTAAAAACACTCGTGTAATTTTCTTTTTCGGCGCTGCCATCCTGTTCACATGTGCTAGTCACTATAAATACTCAAAGCTCAGTATTCTGTGTCTGCATTCGTCAACAAGATATTATCGGAATAGTTTCTGTCAATTCTGTCATCATTTATTTACCCTCATGTTGTTCCAAACAGTGTGACTTTCTTTTTTCTTTTTCTTTTGTGGAGCACTAAAAGAAATGTTTTGAAGAACGTTCATGCAGCTTTATTATATAGGAGTAATATAACTCCTATATAACCCCAAAATGAAAACTTGCTGAAGATTTACTCACCCACAGGCCATCCAAGATTATTACAGGTATTAGAAATGTAGCATTACATCACTTGCTCACCAATGGATCCTCTGCAGTGAATGGGTGCCGTCAGAATGAGAGTCCAAACAGCTGATAAAGACATCACAATAATCCACAAATAATCCACACCACTCCAGTCCATCACTTAATGTCTTATGAAGAGAAAAGCCATGTGTTTGTAAGAAACAAATCCATCAAGATGTTTTTAACGAGTCGCCTATACATTCACTGATTCACAAGTTGCCGCGTCTGAACCAAGGGAGAAATATGCACAGATCAAGTACCATTTACAAGCTCTAAACAAATATGTTAGTAGATTTTGATTTGAAAGGACAACAGGGGATGGAGTTTTTCACTAGAGGAAGTGTTATTATGCATTATGTACTGGTATTTTGGCCAGAAATTAAAGTTAAAATGCCTTATTGATAGATTTATTTCTTACAAACACATTGCTTTTTACTTTACACAAGACATTAATTGATGGACTGGAGTGGTGCGGATTACTTGTGGATTACTGTGATGTTTTTATCAGCTGTTTGGACTCTAATTCTGACGGCACCCATTCACTGCAGAGGATCCATTGGTGAGCAAGAGATGTAATGCTACATTTTTCCAAATCTGTTCTGATGCAGAAACAAAATCATCTACATCTTGGATGGCCTGAGGGTGAATATGTTTTCTGCACATTTTAATTTTTGGGTGAACTATGCCCTTAAAGTCTTCTGAAACTTTTTTTAAGGAAGGTTAAGTCATTGTACAGTAACTTTAATATGAAATTGGCACAAGTTGCCATCAACAATGTACGACCTTCACATCAACCTTTTCATTTTTGAATGAACTGTGCCTATTAAGCATGGTAATTTGATGTAAAATTCATTGGAATAAGGAAGGCACAATACACACATCGTCTTAAGCCTTGTTAACCCAGAAAACTTTTTTTAATTAATCAGTGCATGCATAATTAATGGGTATTTAATGCCTACTAGGCTAAATGTTTTTCCAGTGTCGTGGCTGCTCATTATTTTAGGACATCTTCCCATTTTCATCAGTTCTGTCAGGACCACTATCGTCAAAGATGATTGACAATTAGCATACAGTTTGGATTGGCGGTATGGCTCTGTTCTGGGCAAGAACTCCCTGTGCATCCATGCAGCCTAGCATGACAAACAGAACAGAACCAACATAAATGTATTGCAGATATAGTTAAAAGTTCAATAATTTTATGTACACATTTTAGAATTAGTCTGATTCAAAGAAGAATCAGAAGGCTGAATCCTGACTGACAGAGGAGGAGCTGGGGATGGAGGAGGGTAATTAGCTATTGAGCAATGCAAAAACTGCTGATACTACTGAGGGACCTTATATATGAATGCTTAGATAGGTGTCGTATTCCTATAGGTAGATGGGGATCAGCTGAAAGTCAGCTGATGCGAGCTTGACTAAAGTGACCTGCCAGAACTAACGCTACGCTTGATTTTTAAGGTGTTTTTTGACTGCTGGAGTGTCGTGTCTGACTACAGTTGTCCAGGTGGACTCGATGTGTGTGTGGTTTTGTGTGTTGGTGTCTAGCTGTATGTTGATGTGATTAATGAGTGTGGAAAATGCAGGGCACGTGGTGTCATAACAGCAGTTAGAAAATCCCCATATGCCGTATGGAACTGAGGGACAGCGGCAAACTGTACTCATACTTGAATGTTTTATAAAGAGAAGCTGAAGACAAGAAAAGGGCAGGAGCGAGATATAGGAGAGAATACTAAACAGAGGCTCCTTTTTAAGCTGGATTCCATTTAAATCGAAATAGAAGGAAACAAAAAAAGAAAAAATAAGATCTTGTAAGATGTGGAACCGTAAGGAAGTAGTTCAAAGAGGTAAAATGGATTAGTCACTGCTTTTATGAAAGAAATTGTGTCTTTTCTTGTTTCGCTTTTGATGATACGCTCTTGCAAGTGTTTTTATATTCTTATTAAAATTCAGCTCCTTGTCTTCGTTTCTGCATCACTAATACAAGAGAGAGCATCTGATTTTACTTTGAGTTATTTTTGTGCATTAGGATATGAAGATGTTGACAGGCGGAAATTGAAATGTTCTTTCTATCACAGTTTTTTTTTTTTTTATAAAGGTCAAGAAGTCATCATAAAAGTCAGTGAATTGTAACTGCTGGAAAAAGTCTATAATGCCTTCTATAATGCATTATTTTTAGTGGATTGAAAGAAAACTGCTATGAATGACAGGTCATTTTGTACATTCATAATTGTTATAAATTTGTAATTATATTGTCACTGTTAATTTTGGTGTTGTTAATGTAGAAACTATATGTAAATTTTATAATTAAACAATACATTTTATTTTAATATTTTTATTTTATCAATAATCATTATATATTTTTAATCACTTATCATGGTTGTTTCCAGTGTTATTAATGTAAAACTATATGCTTTAATAAATATTATAATTAAATAGAAAATGTAATATTTTAATTTTACTACATCATATTATTGAAATATTTTTATTTAGTAAATAAAATAAATTTATTAAGAATTGTTATATAGGTTTAAATTATATGATGAGTTATATTCAGTGTTATTAATGTAAAAGCTATATGCTGTAATAGTAAATATCATTATTATGTTATTATGGTGTTATTAATGTAAAAATGATATGCTTTAATAGTAAATATTATAATTAATACATTTTATTTTAATAATTTAAATACTTTTTAAATCGTTAGTTATTTTCAGTGCTATTAATGTAAAATGTATGCTTTAATAAAAAAATTTTTTTAATATATTTATTTAAATAAATACAATTCATAATTTATTAATAATCACTATTATCATGCTATTATATTAATGTAAGAATTGTATCCTTTAAATAATTCTTAAAGATAAATAATAATTAAAATATTGTATTTTATTTTCATAAATAAAATAAATATTAATTTTATTTAATTCAACAGCACATTCTTGGGGATTCCAGCTTTAAATGGGGGCTCAAACCCTCCTGGTTTTAATAGTTAAGGTTCAGATTTGTTAAGAAATATAATATTGTAAAAGCATGAATACAGAACTTCTCCTCACTGTTTGTTTGCAAGGCTGGTGACATTCTTGTGAACGTGTCATTCATGATTTTTCCATAGCGATTTTTCTTTCTGAAATGAAAGTTGGGTGTTAAGTTCATGGCGTTTTTGGCGTTTTTGCTCCTGAAGTGGGGTCAAATGAAGGTGTCATCTTTATCCACCATGCCTCTTGATCGGCCCTCACCTCCAGTCATATCTCTGCCTGTAGTCTGTGCTATTTATAGTCATGAATGATGCAGACATTAAAAACGTAAACCTTCATTGAAAAGACTCTTGAGACTCTAAGTCCTTGGGAATATAAGCTGTAAACTGTAAGGTCCCATCGACCTGTTCTGCTCAGACTGTGAACTACAAATGAAGCATTGAAATTTCACTTTGGGGAAGCTACTATGATTTGTGCGATCGTTCTATGCAGTAGTTTTATAAATAGCATTGCCTGCTCACTATTTTTAAGTCCCAGTGGTGCTTTTCGCTCTAAACTGGCGCATGCTGTCACTTGACATTGCAGATCACTGCATTCATGCTGCATCCCTCCTGTTCTCTATGCAGTCTAAGACTTTTCTCTGTGTTTTACCACAGGTTGAATTAAGGCTGGACAGTGGTGATGTCACTGCAAAGTAAGTTGAATCTTTTAAGAATGTTTTCACTTTTTTTTTTTTCTTCATTTATTTTCTTAAATTGACCTTTTTTGTTATACGGGACATGCTATACAGATGCAAAGTGGCATATAGATACAATAAAATCCAAACGTCTGAGACCAGTTTTGCAATTTAATGTGGATTCATATTAATACAAATTAATAAATGATATTACCAGCATAAAAAAATGAAGTGAATAAAATTTGCATAAATCTCAATGTCACAGTATTTCATTCTTTCCTCCTTTATTTTTTAATAAGAGCAACACATGAGCTGCATGTAAAAACATTGATTTCACAAGGTCAGTGTCACTAGTTTGCTTATTAGTGACTTAAAAATAGTAAAGAATTTAAGAATTTACTTAATATAATATAAACATCAATGTTTTATAGTTTGTTTAATGTTGTAATTTAATTTAATGTGTGTATGTATAGCAGATATACACACACACACACACACACACTCACACACACACACATTAAATTAAAACAATTTGATTAAACAAATAATACGTGAGTGAATAATAATAATAACAATGTTATTATTGTTATTGTTATTATTTTTTATTATTATTAACAGTTTATGCAGCCTTTAATTGCATATTTTAATATTATATTTGATAATTATATCAAAATTTCAAGTATTTATATTATAATGACATAATAATATTGATAATATATTTGATAATTATATCAAAATTACAAGCATTATATATAATTTATTTTATATATATATATATATATATATATATATATTACCAGTTAGTGTTATCTTTATTATGTATAATATATTTGTATATTTATAATATATATTATGTATAACACCACTAATTCTGAGTTGTAAGCTATATATATATATATATATATATACACACGCATACATATATATATAGAGAGAGAGAGAGACGCATGCATACACACACACACACACACACACACACACACACAGAGTATATATACATTAAATGTAATATATCTAATATATGAATTAATAAGATATATAATTACATTGAATAGAAAATATTCTATAGAAAGATATTCTTTCTATTCTGTAGAAAATCTATGATGCTAACATCCCACAAATTTTAATTAGCGAATTATTTTCTATGAAAGCACATCTGCCGACTCTATTTGAAACGAAGCTCTAAGCCTTTGTCAAATATTTACTAATATCCCTGCTCATCTCCTGCAGTGAGTGAGGCAGAGGGGGCTGTGAAGGTGGAGGAGTGGCAGCAGACGTTTTACGCCCCAGACTCAGGCATTCAGTCAGGAGCCACCACCATTCGAGATGAGGACGAGTCTGAGTGCTGTAAGAAGTACAGCCTCAGTGCCAGCGCTGGCGAGAGCGCCACAGGTAATGCGTGCTCTCCAAAGGTCTCCATTCGCCTCTCCGGAACATTTTGATGAATTATATGACCCGAGGACCTCCGAAATTTCACGTTAGAGTCAGTGGCATTGAGCCCTTCCGCGAGGGCTGTGTCGTTTCACTGGACTTGTGCAACATTCAGAATGTGTTTTTTTTTTTGTTTTTTTGGGGATTTTGCTTTCTTAGACATTAAAAGTGCACAGTCTATGTAAGGATATGTATTAAAGGGATAGTCACCCAAAAATGAAAATTTGTTGTTAATTTGTTCACCCTCAGGCCTTCCAAGATATAGGTGACTTTCTTTCTGCTATAGAACAGTATAGACGTTTTTTAGTTGAAACTGTGGTCCTTGGTGATTCGTAAAATTTAAGTTAGCAGCTACCAGCACTTTGAGAGTCAAAAAAGCATATACAGGCAACACAAAATGAATACCTGTGGCTCCTGATGATATATTGAGGTCTTATGAAGCGAAACGATCAGTCTGTGAAGAAACTGAACATTATTTACAACAGTATCACCTGTAATCCAGAGCCTCGGGCAAACGGTCTGGAGTGATGTCCGGTTCTTTTTGGTGAACTAGTTGAACCAGTGAAGCATGTGAAACAGTTCGCGGCACAGATCTACAAGTGACTTGATCAAAACTCACTTTCAGACGCCTGACAGTCACTCTTGACTCGAAATGAGCCAACATACCAGTGTATATGATCCTATGATTCTTGTTTTTTTGCGCTCCAGTTCCTCCAAGTCACTGAACTGAGGAAACGGTTCCGGTTTGTTCACTTTATGTGCTTTAGACATGTAAAACATCCACTTCTCACATCATTATTGGTTGCTTTAATAATATAATTGCGTATACGTGATGTCATTGCGTGATTACTTAAACAAACTATTGAATTGAACAAGTTCATAGAAGTGAAGTGTCCGAAAGAAGCAGTTTGCGAAAAAAAAAGTATTTCCCCATTTGCCTGTGTGGCTCTGGATTACAGGTAATAATGTTGTGAATAATGTTCAGTTTCTTTCTTCATAAGACCTCAATATATATCGTCAGGAGCCACGGGTTTTAATTTGGTGTTCCCTGATATGCTTTTTTTTTTATTCTTAAAAACCAATAGCCGTTGAATTACATTATATGAATCATTAAGATCCACGGTTACAGCTAAAAATCTTCTCCACCTACATCTTTGATGGTCTGATGGTGAGTAAACTAACAGCAAATTTTCATTTTTGGGTGAACTATCCCTTTATTGCTTTATCTCTACAAGATGCATATTAAATGTACCTGTGGTTTTCTCATTATTCTTTGTTGTCATGGTGCATGTTGTCACTTGTAAATATCTGGGGATTTTAAAATAGATTCTTCACCATGGCAGCACATGTGCTTGCATAGTTTGGAAGAAAGCTGCAAATTTATTGTCCTCCCAGAGCCAGTGACATTTAGAAACTCATCCAAACACTTAGTTCAGTAGGTTCACTTTTTATGGTTTGAACATTATTGCTATCACAACAGAATCTCCGAAGACCCCTTTCTGACGCTCGCGATGCTTCCAGCATGGATTGCACTTTATTCGGAGAGTCACAGGCGCGCTCCCATTATTCCCACCTCTGGTTCTCTGGTGTCAATCTATTCTGTTATTAGATGTGCCCTGAACCACGTCTTTACTGCATCACTCTGCAAAATGTAGTGTGATGCAGCGTGGGTTATAAAACGATGGCATCCGAAATCTAATTGGTCAAGACACGTTTGAGCTCCTATAGATGGTAAAATAGCCTACAAGTGCACACCTGTGACTGCACATTGATTCGATATTACTTCACCAAGTCTACATATCAGCAATATTAGGTACAGTCAGTTATTGTTAGAAGAAGCAATTATTAATGATAATAATATATTAATTGGTGGAAGAAGTGATAAATGTAATATTTTCATAAAAATAATAGCATTATTATTTATTATTATTATTATTATTTTACTACTTTTACTATATTACTACGTGAAGCTGAAGTGTGATACAGAAAGTCCCAAAAAGTGTAGCACTGGCTTGGAAACATCACTTTCATAATAATAATAATAATAAATTGGTGGGAGAAGTGATTAATGTAATATTTTTAATACAATTATTTTTATTATGTTATTATTATGTGAAGCTAGAGCATATTTCTGAGCTACACTGTTACACTTTTTAGGACTTTTTGTCATAAAAATAGCACACTACACATTTAATATATTTTACAAATATTTTTTATGTTTATTTGTCGTTAATTATTAACCATTTTGTCTGTTTACAGTTTTCTGCTACCTTTTCATAGCGAATCAGTAAGTTACTTAAAGTGATTTAAAAAAAAATAAAAATACAAACTCCTCATAACAGCCATGTTGCCATTATTTATATAGCACTTTATACAGTAGAGATTGCTTCACAGTGTTAAATAGGAAAGTAAAAGAATCAGTGATGCAGACATTATTATAAAGATTCGTTTTATTAAACAGTTTCAGTTTGCCTCAGATATAAAGCAGCTCTGCAGATAGTACGTGTCCCATTCAGTTCAGTTCAAGTTGTTTCTCAATAGTATCAGTGCTGTCGAATCAGTAATAAGTGTTAAAATGATTGTAATGCATCACCTTGAGGGGCTTGTTGGTTTAATACGCCTCTTTCTTCACCTGTGCTCAGATATCGAGGCTCAGTACAGTCTAACTCGAGCTCAGCGAGTGCGTGCGGCCATGTTCCCCGAGACGCTGGTGGAGGGAGAGATGGTGCTCACCGCGCAGAGCAATCCAGACCAGCCCACCAATGTGCAGAGACTGGCCGAGCCCTCGCAGCTCCTCAAAACAGCCATCGTTCATCTCATCAACTATCAGGATGACGCTGAGCTGGCCACTCGCGCCGTACCAGAGCTCACCAAACTGCTGGCCGACGAGGACCAGGTACAATGACAGATGGGGAAATGAAAATATACTTACAATTATCCCATTGAGCCAAATACCTAAGACCAGGAACCATGATAAAACAGTACAGTTTTGCAAAAAGCTTCAGCTTTTGTTCTGTTGGTATTCCACTTGAGCTGATATCTTAAAGGATCTGGAGTAAAAGTACAGACGTTTTGAATTACTAGCTGTCATTCTCAAAGAATTAAATGGGGAGTGCATGTGATAATATGAGATGAATCTTTCCATAATCTTTCCAAATAATCTCACAGGATGAGCTAGAAATGTAGAAGGAGAAAGAGGGAATACAGTGAAATAAAGGACTGAAATGTGCTACGATATGATGTGAAAACCAACTTTAGGATATGATCTATTTTCCAAGTTAAATTACTGGCTGCCGAGAGCGTGCAACCATTGAAAGTCTAAAAACATTTAGAAACCATATTTCTCCATTTTTCTATTCATACCGTGTGAATAATTTTGCATATTTTTGCATATTAACACTTTACAGTTTCTTATTTCGAGAACACATTTTCCAATTTTATATACATTGAGCAATTTTGATACTGTGATGAGTCACCAGTCGTGGAATTTGGTTCCTTAAAGGAATAGTTCACCCAAAAAGGATTATTTGCTGAACATTTACTCACCCCCAGGCCATCCAAGATGTAGATGAGTTTGTTTCTTGGAGAGATTTGGAGAAATGGAGCATTACATCACTTACTCACCAATTGATCCTCTGGAGTGAATGGGTGCCGTCAGAATGAGAGTCCAAACAGCTGATAAAAACATCACAGTAATCCACAAGTAATCCACACCACACCAGTCCATCAATTCACATCTTTTGAAGCAAATGTATGTAAGAAACAAATCCATCATTATGACATTTTTTTTTTAATTCAAACTGTTGCTTCCGGCTAAAATATGAGTCCTCTATCCATAATATTTCTTTCTCGACTCTTATTCCAACGGCACCCATTCACTGCTGAGCAAGTGATGTATTGCTAAATTTCTCCAAATCTGTTCCCAAAAAGAAACAAACTCATTTACATAATGGATGGCCTGAAGCTAAGTACTGTACATTTTCAGCAAATTTAAAATTTTAGGTGAACTATTCCTTTAAATAAACTGCATATGATTAGACGGATACATCCAAATACCAGACTTGCTGCACATAAAAGTTTTTTTTGACATGCAAGATTTTCTTTTACCATTGCAGGTGGTGGTAAACAAGGCAGCACTGATTGTGAACCAGCTTACGCGGAAGGAGGCGTCTCGCCGTGTGCTCATGCAGTCTCCTCAGATGGTGTCGGCTGTGGTGAGGGCCATGCAGAACACCGGAGACCTGGAGACGGCGCGCTGCGCTGCCAGCGTCCTGCACAGCCTCTCCCACCAGCGCGAGGGCCTGCTAGCCATCTTCAAATCGGGCGGCATCCCTGCACTAGTGCGCATGCTCGGGTCAGTGTATGCCTGAGGAGTTTGTGCATAGCGTTTTACTTCTGTAATGTGATAAATTTCCATGCCAGCCAGAATATAAGAAAAAATTTTTGATCGGCATGTGGGTGTTACATACCAAAATGTCTCTCATAAAGTGTCATGGTTATTATCATTAACTAAAACTAAAACTATAAAATAAAACATTACTTAATAAAACGTTACTTTAAAAAAAATATAAAATAAAATCTATAATAAAAAAAATAATTAAAAAAAATAAACGTCAACTGAAATTTAACAAAAACTTATTTTTTTTCAGCTAGTTGGGAAGGCATAATTTTATTTTAGTTAAAACTAAAACTGAAATAAAAACTAAATATACATAAATGTAAAAAAAACTGAAATTGTAACTAAATTTAAAATAAAAGAATGAAAAAAAAATGTGACAAGCATATTGTCACGCTTATGTGCTGGAATGAAGACAGAAGAGCGTACGTCGAAGATAATCTTAATTCTTTTTAATAAATCCACAGGGAAAGATGAAAGGAATATCCACACACAAAGGGTAACCACATGCAATAACCGACAACTCAGAGAACTAAAGGAAGGGGATTTATACAAACGGAAGAGGAACTAATGACTAATTAACAAGACACAGGTGAAAGGCGGTTAACTAATAAAGACACAACAGGGACAGGAACAGGAACAGGAACGACCAAATATGGGCACATGAGTGAGAAAAACACAACCAAAGTCCAATCCTGTGACACATGAGGGTGAGCTGAGTATGGCGCGGCGAAAGTGCCAAAGCGAAGAGGAGAGGGCTCCAGTCCCCGATTCCAGTCCAGAGCGCCCTCCAGTGCCCGCTCCTCGAAAGCGCCCTCAAGTGTCTGCTCCTCCAGAGCGCCATCCTCTTCCCGTGTTCAGCCCAGAGGGGGCTCCCGATCCAGAGTTTAGACCTGAATGCCCGGAGGCTCACTCCACCTCGGCTCCTAGCTCCCTCTCCTCCACCGTCACCCGTCGATCCACCTGCTCCACCGGGCTCCCTCGTCCCGGCTCTCTGTCTCCGCCTCGGGCTCCTCCGCCACCTGCTCCGCCGTCGTTGGTCAGCCCCCTGGAGTCGTCGGCCATTCCTCCTCCATGGCTCCTCTCACCGTCGGCTCCACCGTGGGTCGACATTATGGCTGTGGCCTGGGTCCAGCTGGGCTCCTCCTGCTCCATGCCCCTCCTGTCTCCTCCCTGGCTCCTCCCTCCTTCGTCGCCTCCCTGGTCTCTGTCTGCCGGCCCCCTCCTGGGTGC